GAAAACCAACTGCCTAAATCCTTGTCTTAGTGCATCTCATCAAGAATTGAGGGAAAAGCTCAATGCGACAGACCCATAGGACACAGTGTGTCACCGCGACCTGGGGATGGTGTCTTCAGTCACTTCGCCAGGAGGTGGCAGTGGCCACCACTCGCCTGACAGTGGTGGCAGAGGCGCCGGACAGCAAGGGGGACATCACTCCTGGCTGATGTGGTAGCTCTTCATCCTGACATGGGCAAGGGGGTCCTCTCAGGCCATGGACCACGAGGTTTTACTGCTTATTTGGGGGCATCAATTGAAAATAGCTTCTATTTTCACCCATGGAATTTCTGAATCTGTATTCCCCACTCTAATTCTATATCCAAATCCCTCAATTGTGCTAGCGAGTGTCTTCCTCTTCTGGAGGGTGGAAAGGGTGGCATTCCTCCATCCCAGTGGTTCTCATCCTGGCCGAGTGTCAGGGAGCTTCCCTGACTTCACACTCCCAGGCACTGTCCCGGGAGACACGGGCTCAGCCAGGGAAATGTGACTGACTGGGAAGCAGGGCAGGCCCGGCGCCTGGAACCAGGCCTCAGAGAGCCCTTGGGCAAGGGGGCCAACCAAGAACAGCCGGAGAGGACCGGGAAGCAGCAGAGCGGCAGAACAGAGTGCATAAAAGCCCGTGTCTGATGAGCCCCAGAGACCTGGGTTTGAATCCTGGCACTGCCACCTACTGTGTGACCTTGCACAAATTACTTAACCTTTCTGAGCCTCACACCCTGTATTGATAGAATGAGGCCGAACCTCCTGAGGTTGGTGGGGAGATGAAATGACATAACGACTGTGATGCACTCGGCAAGGAGCCTGGTATTTGGAAGGGGCTCTACAATGGGCAGTTGAGGCACAGTCATCCAGTGGCTGTGCTACTATTATTATCAATAGGATTCTGATTGTGAGCTGCTGGGGTGCTGGCCGTCACACTGCTATTTCCTAAAGCAGAAGGGAGGGGCGGGGAAGAGGCGTTTCGGAAGGTGTTCCCCCACAGCTGTTCCTCTCACTCCCGCTTTAGCAGGAAACCTGGGCAGGATGTCTGAAGGCTCCTTCTGGCAGCCCCTCACGGTCTGGGTGCAGTGTGTGTGTGTGTGTGTGTGTGTGTGTGTGTGTGTGTGTGCGTGCGTGCGTGCTGGGCTCCATCAACATCCCTCCTCCCCACCCCACAATCTTTTGACTTGGTGGTATCTCAGGGGCGAGGAAAGGACACTTGCTTTTGAGAGAGAGAATGGAGTGTAATTCCCAGGCAAGTCGCTCTGGGTCAGAGAGGAAGGAATGATGGGGAGGAGGAGGTGAAATGAAAGTTGTTTGTTTTCTTAAAGTAAAACTCATTTGCTTAGTCTTCTTTAAAAGTTATTCCCAATGGACTTCTGGTAAATTATTATTTTCTATTAGATTCCTAAGGACCAGGGGGTGCAGTAAAATGACAGGACTTCCTAGCCCCAATTCTTCCTGACGGCCTCATGGAACGGAGTAGCAAACGGCACACTGCTCTTGTCCCAAAGAGCACTCTCCAAGATTACAAAGCCGTTAACTAGAAGGGGCTCCTTGTTGGAATTCACAGGTTTCTTTAAAAGGGTATTTTAAACCTCACTGACTAAGACATGCTAATCCTACTTATCTTCCGAAAGCCTGGCCAGAAGTTTACTTTTGCCCTGAGGGGAAAAAGAAGATTGCTAAGCCAGCATAAACAAACTTTCATGTGGTCTTTTACTATTCGGGAGAACCAGCTTTGAGACACTTGGAAATGTCTTTTTTTTTATATACTGTATAAACAACCAGAATCTAGACAGCGGCAGCGGCTGCAGGCTAGGTTTTGAGAGGTTTATCGCAAATTTCAAATTCTGAATTAAACAAAACAAAAACCAGCAGCAACAACTGTCTCCTCCTCCCCGGGGGATGAACTCTGGAATGAGGGCTCACATCTCAGTCAAGCTGTCTATTTTTTATTGCTCATTAAAAACTAGGGGTAGAGCCTCCAGGAGGTGCTAATCTGTCTTTAACACCTTTCTCCCTATGGCTTACATCTTGCCCATGTGGAGAAGGGTGTGCAGGCGCAGGGCTGGAGCTGCGCCCAGGACAGGCTGAGGAGGACCTGCTGGGCTCACGGCACAAGCCACAAGCCAGAGAATCTCTTACTAGTTACAAAAATTAAAATGAAATAAAATAAACGGTTTTCAAAAGAGATGGAGTCAAACGTTTCACTCACTGTAAAAAGCCCTCATCTAATTGAATGCATCTGTGCTCCATCTTAAAATCTGTCATCTAGACAGGAGCGTGGGCAAGACATGAAATATACCCTATTTTTAAAAGATCTCCAGGGAAGAAGAATTTCTTAGAAATGTGTGTTCAAGTTTAATCATATTGGGTATTATGAATTTTTTTCCTTTTTGGTCTTTAAAGATAAAAAATAATAAGATCTGGTTCTAGCTGGTTTGGCTCTGTGGACAGAGCATTGGCTCAAGGAGTGACAAGTCCCGGCTCAATCCCTGGCAGGAGGCAACCAACTGATGTTTCTTTCTCTCTCTACCCCTCCCCTCCCCTCTCTCTGAAAAACAGAAACAACCAATGGGAAAAATATTCTTAGGTGAGGATTAACACAAATAAAAAATAAAATAAAAAAATATATATAGTCTGCTTCCTAAATTATAGATGAAGAGTTGTCAAGTCATCCCTTATTGTTTAAGCCTTTAGGCAGAATAACCTAGTTCCCCCATGGGCTTGACTTGATGTGTACCAGAAGGCAGATGTCACCGGTGGCCAGGGTTGCCAGGTGTGGGAGCGGGTGATGTGGCAGCTCTGGGTGTGAAGCCATGAAACCCTGTCTTCAGACCAACAGCCAGGCTGACTGTGGCAACTGCTGGCACTGCCTGTGCCAGGCCTCCAGCAATTTTCAACAGGAGTCACTACTCCTTTCACAGATTCTCCAGGTGCCCCTCCTCTGCCCACGTCTATGGGACAATATGCCTTCAGGCATGGCGTACACCTATTATAGACGTGAACCCTATCATATTGAGTGGGTTGGGCTTCCAGGTCCAAATAAAGCCAAAATACAAAAGTGCATTTAATCAAAATTATTCTGTAAAAACCCCTTGTCCTCAGTCAACTGTTTCGTAAGCAGTGCTTTTGGCTAAACTTGATACCCCAAGATAAAAAAGACTAAGTTTTCTCACACCAAGTAGACTCTTGTTGGCAGTGAGGTGGTCAAAGATTAAAATTCAATCATAAGCTTTTAATTTTTACATCTGTTTTAGTAATGTAGACTTTTCTTTTCATTCACAATATGCCCGAGGCATGAAATGGTTGGAAACCAACGACTATCACCGAACAACAGGGAGACCCAGAAGGGATTATGGTCTTTTATTTATGATGATGATGATGATGATGATGATGATTTTTGAATCCTCACCTGAGGATATTTTCCCACTAATTTTTAGTAAAAGGCGAAAGATTTATGCGGTCTGAAGAGAAACCAGAGCATCTCCCCACTAATTTTTAGAGAGAGGAAGAGAGAGGGAAAGACAGAGAGAAATATCGATGTGAGAGAAACACATTGATTGGTTGCCTTCTGAACGCACCCTGACCAGGGCCCAGGCTGGGGAAGAATCTGCAACTAAGGTACATGCCCTTGACCCAAATCAAAACCGGGACCCTTCAGTCCACAGGTCGATGCTCTATCCACTGAGCCAAACTGGCTAGAGTGGGAATATGGTCTTTTAACTAAAGATGTATTTAACCCATCCAAGTGTGTCATCTCATATATGTTAACTGATCAAAAAAAGTTTGGTGAATGACTGAATGGATGACTTTACCAATGGTGAGAAGGTTTGCTGACCTAATTAGAGCAGAGTGGAACCAACGAGGTAGTTCATCCTAGAAGACAACTCTGACTCCATGGTCCAAACCTTCACTCATCAACACTCGCCAGGTATGCACTGAGGACCTGCTGTGGCCTTTTGGACACACGCTTTTGCAGATGCTACCACGTTGCTCAGAGTACGATGGAGTGGCCTTGCCTGATTCCCTGCCATATGTAGACTTTTGAGAACAGAGGACTTATCTTATTCGTGGCACTAACCTCAGTCCCCAGCACAGGGAATGGCACATGCAAGGGCTCCACCCCGCCTGAATGGATGAAGGTCACAGCATCCGACATCTCGTCCTGGAAGAGCACTGAGGGAAACTCCTCCTGCATGTCCCATGCTCTCCTCTTTCTGGGTCACTCCCCAAAGATCAGACAACCCCTGGGACTAGAGTAATTCCCAGGATGTTGACCAGAACTTGCCTCTTAGAACCTTCCTTGACACCTATATTTTTTGCCCTAGAAAAAAATATCTCTAGGTGTGTGACTATCCTCCCCAACATGTGCAAATTTCTTAGCCAACTCAGTCATGAAATATTTCATAGCTTTTATTTTCAAGAAATATCATTTCCCTCCATAATTGAATCTCATGAGTGGATACCTCTTTGGGAATTCCCTACCAAGAAGCTACATCCCAAGGGTCTATGACAAGAGGGCCCCAGTGATGGAGTTAGTTGCACATATAGGAGTTGGGTGACTTTTCTGTTGACAGATGGCACAGCTGCCTCCTGCCCACCAGCCATAAGACTCAGCCTCCCTGAGCCAATGCCCAGCCACCCACAATACCATGTGACTACCCCAAGCATAAAGCCCTGGGTGGCTGTGTATGGCAGCTTTTCCCAGAGCTCCGCATGCTTACAGCATCATAACTAAGCTACACTGGCTACCCCATTCATCATGTAGAGTCCAAGGAAATAGGACCTAAACACCATCTAGACAGACTCCCATCACACAGTCAGCAAGAAGCAAGACAATTCCACACAACACAAGGTCAGAGGGAAGCAAATGATTGGGAGACAGCCCTTAGCCACCAGGAAAAAACCCATGGCGAGAGAAAGTCACAGACAGCACCGGTAGAGAGAGAGGCACATGATTTTCCTTTCATTACCTTCAGATTTAGGACTAGGAGTAGATGCAGGAAACTGGTAGGTAGGAGTGTAAGGACTGTCCTCTGTCGCAGAGAAAAGCAGTGGATTTTGAAACGATCCACCATGAAGCAGAGGAACTGACAAATCCCCAATTGACTCTTGCAAAGGACTGATTACCTGTTTAGTGTTATTAGAGCCCGTGGGCATCACACCCAAAACAGGTTAATGTATTAGAGAGGGCTTAGTCATTTTAATATAGCACGTCATGCAAATGAGTAAAATAAAATTTTCGCCAACCAAAACCAACTATCAAAATAATATCTAAAAGCCAAGTCTCATTCCTATAATGGGACTATAGGAATTAATGTAAGGCTAGGACAACAGACATACTGTCTAAGTTTATGGTACCTTCAGAATTTTGCTGGATTTCAGGAAGTTCGGGGAATTTGTACGTAGGGAAATAAGGGTTTTCTTCAGGAGTGTCTAGGCAGAGGAGCAGGTGTGGGAGAGAGAACAGAGGAAGATACAAACGGAGAGAATGAACGAATAGGAATCCACACACAATATAGGCCCCTTGAATTCCAGAACATAAGCTTCACTTGCGACATGAAGGAAATTCACACTGCGTTTAAAAATCCAGTCCTTTTGCCTTCAGTACTGAGACACACCAGAAGAGACAATATCATTTCTCTTCTTTGACAATGAATTACGTGTATATAGGCTCCGGGAAGCAAGAGGCATTTAACACAAAGCGTCAAGTTTTTACCTTTTATAGGCAAAGAATATTAGGTATGCTAATAAATAGTATGTAATGAAAACACTATCGTAAAATGTTTTGTAAGATAAATCAAACCTTGTGCTGTGGACATTAGAGTTGAGGCAAACAGCTGAGGTTTTCATTTTTCCATACCTCTGCCTACCTTTAAGGTGGACAGTTTTGTTGGGGACCTGTAGTTGAGCAGTTAACAACTGTAACATAGGAGAGGCTCCTACTTCTTGTGAGGCAGAATCACATACTTTTCACATGTGTGCCTGTGTCTCTGCATTGGGGCTGACAGAGCTGGTCTAACGGCTACAGGTGAGACACAGCATGCTGGAGGAAATGGACATCAGCTTCAGGAAGTAACCAGAGGAACTGGCACTATCCCGTCAGAGAGACCTGGCCTTTAGCTTCGCCATCCGGACGGAGCTCACCCACTCAACTACAGTGGACTTCCTCTCGGCTCCGGAACACTAAACACGAGCATCTCAATATTTAGAGAGTTTGGAGAGGGGCACCTCTGAACACCACAGGAGTCATTGACAGTGACCTTCACTGGCATCCACAGCTAATCAGGGAGACTGGTTATCTGTGGCTTAGGCCAACACTGACCGGACGTTTTTCTTTGCCTTTGTGTGTCACCTGTGCCAGGCAGCCAGACTGGATTTGGCCACATGGAAGGACAGGATGCTCTGCCTAAGGGAGGCTGGTACCTTCCCATGGTGCAGTGCATCCCTGCCTATCAGCTGACTACGGCAGAGGCGGATGGGGGCTGGAGGGCCATGACCTGCCCGAGCATGGCCTGGGGCTCTCCCACAACGCGAGGGCCCGACCAGGAAGCGCTTCTCTTCCAGCGTGAATGGGCTTTGGACTGTCAGCTCCTGACTGACTCAGGGCTACCTGCCAACGGCTGGCTGCAGACGGGAAGATTATTTTTCATATTAACACCACCTTACAGGGACCAGGCATGCTATTCACAAGGCACATTGCCAACATCCCTTGGAGGAAGGGAAGCGGGACAAAGAGAGGTAGGTGACTGGTCCAAGATCAGATGAGTCCTGACTCCAGGGGAACTGACTCCAGGTCAGAACAGTTTTTAACGCCCAGTTCAGTGCTTTCTCAACCGGGTCTCCTACAAGGCAGTCACGGGCTGACATGGGGAGGTGCCCCTACAGCTGGAAGCAGGTGGAAGTTGGAGCTGCTCGCATTCCAGCCAAGCAGATGCCAGAGCACAGGAAGCAGGACCTGTAGCATCCCACAGCATCTGGGCAGGAGGACTTCCGAGCTGACCTCAATCCCCTGCGTGAGGCAGGCACCCAAGTGCTCCCTCCCCCCTTGGCTCTGGAAATGACTGCTGGGCTCAGGCAGGCTGGCACTTAATGGGGTCAAGCCGCAGGGCCAGTCCTGGCATCCTAGCAAAGTGGGTTTATGCCCACACCACAGCAGTCAGCATGGGAGCACAGCACAGCTTCTACAAGAGCAAACCAGTACCTCTGTTTAGCTTGTGGATCTGCTTAAACATGGTCTTGTACCAGTCTTTGGATCTCTCGGTGTTCTGGAGAAAGACAAAGGCAAAGAGTAAAATGAAAAGGAAATCCTGGTATATTTCAGAACTTCTACAATTACAAAATCAAAACTGGCAACACCTCAAGTCCACACTCACGTAATTCTACACATCCTGTGATTTCACATTTAACATCTTCTTTAAAAAATGTAAAACTTTTCATAAAGAACAGACAAACCAAGAGCTTCAGACCTGAATCTGCAGAGTAACATTTGGCCCACAGGACACAGATTTTGAGAACAGTTAGCGAAGCTACACTTGAAAAGGTGTCTATTTTTATAGAACTTTTTAAAACTTCGTTTTTACAGAGAATCTCTTTCTGTATATAGATGACTAAACTGAACTAAAACCTCCTAGAAACATACAAGAGACAAAGAACATTCGCTTATCAGGCCTTGCCCTGTCCATCCCAGGTTATTCTGTAGAAATATGTCTAAGTCACCTTGCAGGGGGCCAGATTTAAAATGCACATGTTAAAATGTGACCCATCATTGCAGCCGATGCCAGAGCGGTTATCCTGTTCGCACAGCTGGGTTCATTTTTATTTATTTACTTTTAAAGATAAAAATAAAACAAGAACAGGGACAGATGGGTAGTTAGAGCAGGTAGTTCGCTTCTACTTTACAAATGAGGAAAAATGAGTCAAAGCTATCCAAACTGACAGAGCTGGTGAGAAGAGGAGTAGAAGGGCCACCTCATCTATAAAATGGGAACAACATTATTATCCACCTTATGAAGTGAATGATGCTTAAATGAGATAATGCACTTGGCAAATGGTAGCTGTGATCACTGCTGGTAATTCTCATTATAATTATTGTACAACTATCCTATATAATAAAGAGCTAATATGGAAATGGTCATCATGCCCTCAGTCATGATGCCCACGCCCGTCCGTCACAATCCATCACAGGAAGCTAAGTGTGCAGTGGGCGTGCACAGGTGGGCGGGGCTATGTGTTCAAAGAGGTGTGGATGGGTGGGCGGGGACTTGATATTGCGTGTAAGGTGCAGAAGCGGGTCCCTTGGCTCCAGCCTACCTCTTTGGGGTGATTGATCTTGGGGTCTCGCACTGTGAGAGGGCACAGGTCAGGCTGGCCCTGCCCCTCCCAGTGCACAAATTTCGTGCACTGGGCCTCTAGTTATTCTATGAGACTGGACAACAGTTCTTTGGAGGCTGGGCCTCCTGTTGTTCCTCTCAGCCTTCTCCATTGGGCACATAAACCTGTACACTTGCTCTAGGGGAATCACTGAGAAGCACATGGCAGCCGTTTTCTGTTGGGCACATGGAGAGGAATAGAATTCACCCTAATCCAGTTTTTAGGGTTGGGCTGCCCTGGAATTCCTGAGGGCCTGCACAAGGCTGGCATGCCTGTACTGGGGGGCGGGTTGGGCAGGCAAACCTGAGACCACTCTGTTCTGGAGGCCTCAGCAGGCTGAGCCTTAGTTTCCCTTTCATGCTGGGTGACGGGCTTGTTCCCATCAGGGGAAATGCTACCAGAACCCATGAACAGGTCCCCTGAGCCTCACTCTCCCCATCGCTCTCCAAACGTGGACTAACAATTTCGGAATCTGCTCCCTGGAACAGTAATAACGTGTCCATGGGTGGGGCAGACTGGGAAACTGCCGGAAACATTTTTCTTTTCAACACGCACATCCCAAAGCCTCTCAGTTCTGTTGCAGAGAAATCTCGCTGCCCTTGTTCCACGAAGCTTTTCTTCGTGTTTATTCAACCATGAAATCCCTTTTCTCACGAGACTTACGGCACTTCTTTGGGGAAAGCTGCTGCACCGGGAGCCTAGGACCAAGGTGGGCTCGGAGTGCTCCGAGGCTCCTCGTCCTCAGCAGGCTCAGTCAGTGGTGAGGACCCTTCTTACAAGGCCTTTGCAACCCAAGATGGGGCCCACATGCATGCAGGGGTGCACACTTGTCCCTGGCTGAGGGGAGGCCTCGGAAAGACTTAGGTGGGACTCATACCCGGAGTGGGATGCCCACTTCATCCATGGACACATCGCTCAGGTCCTGAGTGCTCTTAGCCACCCGCCGGCTGTCATCCTTGGCCTTTTTGTCAGAGGACCTGCCAGGAGAGGTGGGTTTTTCCTGGGTTGGTGCCGAGTCACGTTCTCCCACTCTTCTTTCTGACAGAGGATCTGGAAGTGAAAAACAACCGTGAGCTGAAGTTCTTCTGGTGGCTCCAAAGCAACCCTCCTCCCTCCAGCCAAGAAAAACCCCCTCCCTCTCCAACAATCCAGCTGGGGGAAGTGTGCTTGGTAATTCTCAATTGGAACAAGTTTCATGTAGAGCAAGGGTCAGTAAACCAGGCCCAGCCACCTGTTTTTGTAAATAAACTTTTATTGGAATACAGCCACACCCATTCATTTACGAATTATTTATGGCTGCTTTCAAGCTAAAATGGCAAAGTTGAGTAACTGACGGAAACCATATGGACTGCGAAGCCTAAAATATTTACCATCTGGCCCTTTAAAAAAATCTGCAGAGGTATACACCAGGGGCTGCAGACATCGAGTGGCTCAGACTGTGAGGGAGCAGGTACAGCCATCAAGAGGTGGCCAAACATTCCTTGAAAGTCCTTGTTGCATCTTGGGGAAGTCACTGAACGTTTCCATGCCCCTGCTTTCTCATCCAAAAATGGGGATAATCCCTCCACTAGCAAGCTCACAGGATGCTACGTGAGGACCTAACAAGATAACTCATGCCAAAATGCTCAGAAAGCTCTACATTGCTTAGTGTACATTAGAATATTTTAAATTTGATTCAGGATTAGAAGTTACAAAGAGCTAATAAACATTCCATGTGTGGTTTACAGATTATAAAATTACTCTGTTTAACTTTATTCCAAGCCATGTCATTTAGTTACAGGAAGACATTTACTAAGTCTCTGCCAGGTGCTATGCCTTCCCATGCAAAGGAGAGGGAACAGGGCTGGGGAAGGCAGGGAGAGATGGCCTCTTCCATTTAGACATAGCTACTTAGACGTGACAGTGAGATGTTTATGAAGAAATGCCTCAGAACCCCTAGAATAAATGTGGGAGCGGAGCCCAGGTGAGAGGCCCCAGCAGGGACACAATTTTGGAGTCATTGGCACAAAAGTGAGGGCTGAGGTCAAGGAGCTGGAAGAGCTCAGTGGAGGAGGTAAATGAGAGAGTCAAGGGCTGAACTCATGCACCAAGGAACGTCACAGTCTTAGGCTCACCAGAAGATGCGGGAGTCACCAGAGGGGCAGAACATGAACCACAGGCACAGTGAGGTGCCAGTGAAACCAGAAAACAATGCCAAGAAATGGGTGGTTAAATACGTCAAAAACAAAACAAAACAAAACCTCAAAACAGAAATTGAAGCAGAGGAGGAGGCATTAGATTAGGCAAAAGAAGAATCATAGAATTGCTCTCAGGGAGTAATTTCGAGAGAGCAGTGGGGTTAGATGCCAGATTGCAGGAAAAGAAATGAATATGTAAGCAGGAAGCGGGGTAGTAAGTAGGGAGGTGGGCACGGAAGAACTATGCCAACCGGAGAGGTCACAAGATTAGGGGGCAAAAAGGTCCAAGCCAGGGGAGTGACAGGCTGATGGTGAAGCCTGCTGTGAGGCTGAGGGGACAGAGATGTGCCCTGGAGATTATCAAATGCTCCACAGGCATCTGTCCACTGATTGAGAAGGAGATTCTCATCTTTGGGAAGAAAAAGGTTCGAGTGCTAGCTGGAGGAACCAGAGGGTGCAGGCAACGTTGTGCTGAAGATGGAGATGTTGTGGGGGGCGGGGTGGCTGGGGGAAGGGGCATCACATTGGTGGGTACCCTCAGGGTTTGTGACTTTCACAGACTGCTTCATGGAGTGACTTTGCCTGGATGTCACGTTGACTTCTGAAATGGGGGTTTAATCTGTGGCCATAGGACGATTTCTTTTTTAAATATATTTGTATTGATTTCAGAGAGGAAGGGAGAGAGAGAGAGAGATAGAAACATCCATGATGAGAGAGAATCATTGATTAGCTCCTCCTGCACGCCCCCCAACTGGGGATTGTGGCCACAACCCAGGCATATGCAGGAATCGAACCCGGGACCCTGGAGTCCACAGGCTGAAGCTCTATCCACTGAGCCAAACCAGCCAGGGCCATAGGACGATTTCTAAACATTCTGTGGGAGACTCAGTTCAGGGAGCCCTTCAGAAATCTTGATCCCGGTGTCATCACCATGAGCTTTAAAGGATGTTAGAACCAGACTGTTTCATAGAGCTTTGAACACAGTGGTGCTTCTTTTTAAACCAAAACTAACATTTAGTGAGCTAGGGATGTGCCACCCTATCAAAACCACGAGTGGATCTGTCCCCAAACTCAAAGAGGACAGAGCATGAGGCTCTTTCAAAGCCGGGAAGTGGCTTGGGCCTGGTGGCACAGCAGACAAGCCCTGACATTTAATAGCACTTTCCAGTGTGCAGGGAATACCCCAAAGCCTCCTGTCACCCACACAATCCTGCAGAGGCAAGGACTGTCACCCCACTTCCCACATGAGTAAACTGGCTCAGAGAGGTGAAGTCACTAACCCAGGGACAAACAGCCACAAGAGGGAAGAGCCAGGACCAAACTCTGGGTCTAACTGTGTCTGGGTGCCTTTTAAAAGTCGATTCCACTGCTCCTTTCATTCTTTCAGGGGCAGGAAGGAGCCCACAGGTGCCACCTCCCCTTCCCCCGCACCCCGAGCCACCCTGCTCTCAGCAGCCTGGGCTGGGGCCACAGAGTGAAGTGGCACCTTGAGGAGGGGGCAGCGCAGGGCACCTTGTGCTCAACCACAGCCTGTCCTGGTTCCACAGCCAAGTCCTGATAAAGCTGAGAGGGTGTGAGAACCCTGTGTCCTGCCCACCTGGGCTTTCCACGAAGCCCAAGGACGGCAGTGGGATGAAGCAACACAGGAATCACAGCGCAGCGGCTCAGGAAGTGGCGGCTTTTCCTATCCACCAAACCAGGGGCTCTTAACCCCCGAGTTCAGGACTATCTGCAAACGACCCCAGGCGTGCGTTCTCACACGCGTGGCTCCTTCTAGAGCAGTGGCTCTCAATCTTTCGCGACCAGAAGAGCTCACGAGTCTGTGCTGATGGAACATCAGGTGGTGACCGGAAGCCAGCTAGCTTTACCACGGACAGGTGCTAACGTGTAAATAAATATTTCTCACCTACCTGACAGGCTGCTGAGTCGTTTCTGCTGTTCTGTAATACAAGAAAAAAATACACAGTGTGAGGTTTACAAAGATGTGGTAAAACCGAGACATCCGGGCACAACTCATTAGGACCCCAGTGTCTGTGTCCTCCCCGTCCGCTGGGTTTCGCTGCTGAAGCACTGCAGCCAGTGACAGAGCGTGTTCACGTGGCCCTGTCATCCAAGTGCGGTATCTCTCACCCCCGCCCCTGCGTCTGCACCAGGACTCGGGCACGGTCTCCGTTTTTCTGGGTGTTTACATAGATTCTCAGGATAATCTGGTCACTGAAGGAGACCCTCCCACCTCCATTGGCTTCAAGGGAGAGGACTTCGCACAACCCAGTCTTGATACCTTTTATCGGTAATAGTAACCATGGCAGCTACCACCTCCTGAGCACTTGTAGATACCAGGCATTGTTTTAAGAGCTTTCCCACAGGTCAATGCTTTTAATCTTCGCAACAACCCTACCATATAGGTCAAGGTGGTTGAGAGGCAAAAACTACCCAAGATGACACTGAAAACTAGAACTGGTCTAAAATCTGGAATATCCTTATCTCTAGCCCAGGATCTTTTTAACTCTAATCACCAGTCCCTTTCCTTAACACTGAGGGCTATGGGTTCTCACCCTCCGGGCACTCCCTTGGAGAATCCGGTGTGGACGTGCTATGGCATATGCACAAAAATGACCTCCACCTTCCATAGCTGCTAAATATAAAGCAGCCACATAGATAAACACAGAGCGCCTGCCAGCCACGGGTGCTGTCATTTTCCCCTTTGGCGGCGCCCCCACCCTCCCTCCAGAATCGGTGTGGGCAAGAAGTAGAGAGAGCAGCAGGGGGCCCCGCAGCTGGTGGAAGCAGCCCTGTCTACCTCAGGCCCGTGGTGGGGGCTCATCCACACGCTGAACAGAGCCCAGCAGAGCTCGAGGCACCGCACTGCCAGCCACATACCAGACCACACTGACTAACTGTCACCTCCGTTTCCTCATCTGTAAAATCAAAGCGCTCACTGGATCCATGGATCCCGCTCTGGTCTCCAAGCTAGGGCAGGCTCTTCCCCAGCAGGCAAAAGCCCATTTATCCCATTTAAAACAATATGTTGTTCCCACTTCTCAAGTGTGAAAGGCCCTTCTTTCTTGGAATCGCATGCGATGAGGGTATAGCAATTGTTTTTCATGGGTGTTATTTAGCAAAGTTAGAAATTAGCAACCATAGGGTTGTCCCAGACTGTTTCATGTGACAGAAGTCTGGGGACCAAAAGCTCTTATCTCCAGTGTGGTCCATGGACCAGCAGCACCAACACAACCTGGAAGCTGCTGAAAAGTGCAGAACCTCAGCCCTGCTTCAGAGCTCCTGAGTCTGCACCTGCATCTGTAAGTCAAGAAGACCCCTCCCCCCAGAGTCCAGGCACAATCGAGACTGCGGAGCTCTGCCCTGGCCGGGAGCTCAGTTGGTTAGAGCATTGTTCCGATACACCAAGGCTGTGGGTTTGATCCCTGGTCAGGGCACCTACGAGGATCAACCAATGAATACATAAATGGAACAACAAACCTCTCTCTCTCTTCTCTTTCTCTCTCTCTCTCTCTCTCTCTCTCTCTCTCTAACTTAAAACAAAACAAACACCGAGAAGCTTGGAGCTAGGTAACTCATGCATCTCTCTCAGTCCTCAGTTTTCAGATTCCAGTGCTCCTACCAAACTGATCATAAGCAATCTGCCCTCAGACATACATGTAAAGTGAAAACTCAAGAGAGGAGCAAGGGCTGTGTGAAGCATGACCTTCCGAACCAGCCAGACCGAGGAGCCCTCAGTCTGCTTGCAGTGCAGGGAGCTGGCTGTGACATGGGGCTATGGGGCTACTGTCACACCACCCCCTGGGCCAGTCTAGGCAGGAAAGACGGGACCCTTTCTTAGGATGACTGAACTAGAATTCCAAAAGTGGAGTAAAGTTATCATTCCCTCAGGAGACTTTGCAACAGTTAAGAAACTTTTTACGGGCATTATCTATGATGCAAAGCAGAGCTGCCAGGCTGGGTCCATTCCAAAGCAAAGCCAAAAATGCTTGACCTAAACCCCACTGGCCATCAGTCCCCCGAGGCGGGGCCAGCGAGGTGCTTCCATTCTCCTGCACTCTTCCTGCCGCACCTCCCTGGGCACATCTGGTGTGCTCTTTACAGGAAGCTACTTTTCATTACAAAACACAACACACACATACGCGTATCCTTTCCTGAAGGATGTGTGCTGCGGGCTGCACAATTCTGATTTTCAAACCCAGGGGCAGGGCTTGGACAAAAGGGAAATTTAGAACCAAAGGCATCTGGGCAAATAAGAAGGACACGCCTGTTCAGGAGAGAAACTAAAAGGAAGTACGGGCACGCCTGCGCCCAAAGATGTCTCCCTCGGTGTCAGAAGACTTGGCAGAAGCAGCTGACATTACACTTGGCATTTCTCAAAACCCGAGTTGCCTTGGGAATAAGTCCCATTTTTAGAGAAACTGCTTTTTCCTTCTGGGAACTCACTTGCTTCTGTTTGACTGCATTTTTAAAAAAGATGAGTCATAAAGAAGTTCATAGAGAACCAAAACTTCACTTTGTCCTGCATTAGGGACACTTTCTGGGCAGGGAAAGCCATTGGCGAGAGGAGAATGGGCTCTTACATAATTTAGTGTGGGGGGTAGGGGCACTTCTTATTTTTTGAAGAACACAGATTCATGGGTGAAAATTAATATGGGAGCCACACTGAGTGGAAAAAAATAAAATTACTAAAATAACTAAGATTGGAGTGGGAAGACTTTCAGTAAGGGAAAATGTTTCATTCATCTGTTTTTTAAGTTAGAAGCAGGAAACAGAAAACTCCATTTAATATGGAAGACAATTAAAAATAGATTTCAGCCTCATTCTCATCCAAGTTAAGGCAGAGAGAGGCGAAGGGGAGGGAAACTGTGAAGTAGGCAAGCAGGGAGTGAGGGAAGGAAGATTTGGTACTGAGCTGTGAGCTCTGAATAAAATAATAAAACCTCACTCAGAAACACCCCAAAAGCTCAAAAAGTTCACATTTCACAGTGCAAAGACCTTTGGGGGAACGGACAGCATATCCCTCTCTTGAATTCCAAAACCAAAACATTTGGATTTAGAAACATCTTCTGGAATCTTAAAGCAGAGGCCAATACATGCAATTATTACCTCAAAGCACTTCTGCTTCCCCAAGGTGTCCTGTAAAGAAGGGGAAGAACCAGCCCGAGGAACTGCAGGAAGCACACACAAAACCCCGGCAGAGCTGCCTGGAGCCACGCTGGGAAAGGGGCATGCAGCCACGCAGCCCCAGAGGGTGAGCTGAAAGGTGGCCTGGTGTGCCAACTGCTGGCAGGAATGGAGGCTGGCGAGACACCCAGAGGTCCAGTAGCCTCTGTGCTAGAGGCAGAAGAACATGATTGACATTTTAGAAAATATTCCATCCCTAGGTTTACAGTTCTGGTGCTGCTCAAGGTTCTCTTTGTAGAGAACTCATGATGTCAAAGAGCTAAACCATTCAGGGCACTTCTGGAAAGAGGTATCTGCACCTAGAGCTTCCAAGCAAAGCTCTGACGAGAATTCTCATAAGGGATGAAGGGGCCCGGACTTTCCCTTTCCGTCTCTTCTTTCTTTTTGGTGCTACCCCCTGAAGACGCTGTGAACACCCAAGGTGTGGAGCACACACTGCGGAAGCTTACTTATTCTGATACCTGACGTCACCCCACATCAGAGGTCTGTCCGCTACCATCTACTCGGTGGGTGGTGGGAGGAAACGGGGGGGGGGTGGTGGTGGTGGTGGGGGGGCGCAGATGGCCTCGGAGAAGAATGAGATTTGTGAAAATTTCCGTGGGAAGGCAGACTTATTGTCCCGGGGTACGGGACAGCGAGCGGAGGGAGAGGTGCGCGGCGCAGCTCCCTTACCTCGGTTGTGCTGCAGGAGCACAATCGTGGGGTTGACAATGGTCGTGGAGGGGTAGGCAGAGGATGGCTTGCTGACTGGTGCACAAGTTTGGGAATCAGTTCTGACACGAGATGAAGAAACTTCATTTAGCAGAGGACTTGAATCCTGCAAAAGGACAAACATTGTCACTGTCAGTACACAAAACCTAGAGCTAACGCTTTTTAAGAAGAAAATTAAGGCGGTTCAAGGACCTTAATTAGAAAAAGAAATGTAATCAATGAGACGTCATTGATTCCGGTTAGAAGCTTAACCTGGAATGCTTATTCTCTTCGCTGGTATTAGTAAGGGGAGAGAGGGAAGATAATGTCACTGAAGGTCTCAGCAACATTATTCATTATTTTCACCTGGTAAGAAATGTGGATCAATCCAGTTACTGAAAAAGCAAATTCAAATCAAAGTGGAAAAAAACATGCAAAACGCATGCAATTCCAAATGGGGTCTGAGCACAAGAGCTGGTTTAATAGGGAAAAATCAGGAAAGTTTAGTACACTGTTGACAGAAACATGAGAGGATGTGAGATAAGCCACACGTGTAAGAATAGGAAGGGTTAAGTACTGGTACTCTTGGAAAGCTATTCTCATCAGCCACATCACTGAACAGCCTTGCTAGAACTTGCTGCTGAGATTCGGATATTACCCTGTTCTACAGCGATGCTTTCTCACTCCAATATCGACTGACAAAGATCTCTGAAGTCAAGACTTGTGAAAATCCTGACTTTTAAAAACCTGGGGGTCTCAGCCGGAAATACCAATAAAATTATTACTACCAACGATACAATTTACACGATGGGAATAAGGGCAGTCTTCTTAAAGACAGGAAATAAGGCTTAGAAATGTAGTGAGGATATGTAAACAGTTTCTTCTGCCATACCTATACATTTAGCAATGTTTCTATTTTAGAATTTACAGTGCCTAAAGCCAGAATATCATTCTTAAAGGTTTGAAGAACAAGACTTTGCTACTATCCAGAAAAAAATATGGCATAAAAGCAATTTCTGTGCTCCCTCAGAGATCATGGCTCTGTAAGTACCTGCAGGATTAGAAACACAGCCCCATCCTTCTCCTTCTATCCCCTACCCTAGTACAATGCCCTGCAGACAGCAGGTGCGCAGTAGTAAAATGCCACATGAATGACAGGAGCCACCTACCCACAAAGTTGCTTCTGAACAACTTGTGTTCAAAAGAAGAAGAGGTTCAGGAAAACACATGCCCACCAAAAGAGAGGATGTGCATGTCAGGACCCCGGACAGCTCCTGACACACAGTAGGGGCGGCTTCCTGGGACCCACTGGCTTGGTCAGTCCGCCTAGTCTGAAAGTGCCCCAATGTCACAGCTGCTACTTATGAGTGACAGCTCAGGGCAGTGAATGAAACTTCCCCCCAAGACTTGAGGCACAAGATGGTCTTGTACAAAAGTGCCTTGTCTTAATTTTTCATCTGCAAAGTGGGAAAACAATCACACCATCCTATTTACTTCCAAAGTAACAGTACACAAATAAATGTCATGTCAGTGAAAACTGCCCTAATGCAGCCAAGAAACGTGAGAGTCAGGCACAGAGCCTTTTAAAGTGTGCATATTGCCCATGAGGCCTGGAAGGATCACGTGAGCATTTCACATTTTATAAATTTCACTCTGTGGCAATTAGGAACTTGACAAAAATGGTTATTGACTAGAAGAACCTGACCAATTAACGTGAATTTCCTTCCTCCCTCTTACTATCAAATGGCTGTAGATGGAGCAGATATCAGCGGTTGCTTGGCCACCGTCCACCTGGATATTCTCTTCTTGAGGATCCTCATTCGGGGAGGAACCCAACAGTTTCCCTTTTCACCTCCCACTTCTCATTACCTGGGCCAAACTAGAAGCTACCAGGCCAAGCGAAGTCTTCCGGGAAGTCTGTATGTCAATGGGGTTTGAGAAGCTGAGGACTGTCCCAACTAACCTGCCCTGGTCTACCTGAACAAACTCAACATGAACACCTAGATCTACCCAGCCTACCTGCTCTCCGTGCACATGAGCACACTGACAACGCTGCTCTAGTCTGTTGACCGAGCGGGAGGTATAAATACGTCAAACGTAAACAATATCGGGAATGGGTAGGACGTATGAATACGTCCTGAAAATATATGTTGCGCCCTGAGAGGGACGGTTTATATTTTTTGTAATCTTTATAATTGTTTGTAAAATTTATAATTGTTTAATTCGATGTTTCCATTTTTTGTTGGTATTTTTTTCTATTTTTTTGTAATTTTGTATTTTCCTTTGTGCTTTATATATAAATGAAAAAAATATATATATATAATTTATTTTAATTAAGTATAAATAAAAAAAATAATAATATGAAATTACGTCCTCCGGGCGTGACGTACTGACACGTCCTAGTGAAAGAGTACGCGCCCATTAGAGGTTGCGTAATTAAAAAGGTTACTTCCCGGTTAACAGGCTAGAGAAACATTCTGTGCCCAAGGGAAGAACACCTCTATTCTCCAAAACAAGGGCAGCTGCTAACTTCGCCTGTAAGTTGAGTGAGGGTAAGGTAAGTGCATCATGGAGCAATTTAGCGTTTTTCTCCACCTGGGCTGAGCTGTAGAGGTCAAACTAGGACATCCAAGCCCCTGGGCCACGTTTGACAGAGTCCTGACCTAACCCACAGGGCTGTACCTAGAGTTTTGAGAAGGGCCCAGCATTGTATCTGATATCTCACTATAATTTCTCTTAAAAGCCTCCTTCCCCCACCAGTTTTCCTCCTGCTTGATTAAACTGCATGACTTGCTTGTTTAACGAGCCACCTGAGCCTGTTTTGGAGGCGGACAAGGGATGCTAGTGTACATTAGTTCCATCAGCCAATTGCACGGCCCTACGTCTCAAAATGTGGCCCAGGCACCCTCAGCATCAGAATCCCCCAGGATGCACATTGCCATGTAGTTTGAGTCCTAGATCCCTCCCCAGATCCACTTGGTTAGAATCTCCATGAGATAGCCTGGAGAGGACGATTTAAATGCATTTTCCTGCCACTCAATGAGCTACATACTCTGAGCTTGAGAGCACAGCTCAGATGAACCCTCTGAGAGCAGAGGCTGTGCCCTGTTTGTAGAGAATCGAGAAGAATGCCAGAACATAGTGGGGACTCGGTGATTGCTAATTAGCCAGTTACTTAATTTTTAGGGCAAGTCCTGGGCAACGTAGCTAACATTCATTGGGTGCTCTCTCTGTGCCAAGCACTACAATTGGACTTTTATATTCTCAGGTCCACTGCACCCCACCACCCTGTGTGTAGACACATGCACCCCCATTTTACAGCTCACACTGAGGTTCTTTCAGTGTCTCAGTCCCCAGGCCTCCTGAGAAGAGAAAGACTTCGATGCAGTCTTTCTCTTGGGCTTCCCTCTCTGGGTTGGGGGCCTGTACTGAGGGTCCCCAGCAATTATCTGCCTGTTGAGGAAACAGTCCTAACATTCGTACAAGGCTTTTATACCCATTTCCTCAATCATACTCACCTCTCTTTTTTAACCTAGGCTCTGCTATGACTGTGGACACCAGTTTGTTTACTTGCTAAATCCACAAGAGAGTGAATCTCTTCCTCCCTGCTCCCTGGAGGAGAAATGGCTGTTGGTTTTTCCACCTGGTTCGTCAGCTTTCCTCAGCTCTCAACAGTACACCTGCCTGCCTGTGGCGAGCACACCTAGCCAGAGGCAAGGCCACGGAGGCTGTTTTCTCCGCGGAGAACAGAGATGTGCATTCCGAACAGGACAGCGAGGAAGAGGGATGGAGCCCGTGAACAGCCATGAGAGCCCGGGACACACGGGAGGCATGCACTCGGGAGAGCAGACCCGGCTCCAGCCATCACGCAAGCACAGGGCAGCTAGCACTCCCTCGGAACTTAGTACTCCAGTGAGAAGGACTTTTACTGCCGGAGCAGACATTCAGGAAAGCCGCGAGGGAGGGATCCCAGCAAGCTTACGGTACTTGAAACAGCTCCCGTGAGGTCAGGCTCCGAGACGCTGTGCAGGCCCTCCGGGACTGGGGGGACCAGCGGAGGCGGTGGTGAGAAGGATGGTGGTGTCTGGCTAACGGGGGAGTGGGGGCCTGGAGCGCTGGCTGGCGGGCTGTGGTGGGGCCGCCTCTGCAGACGAGGGGGAATGAAATCATCTAGAGTCGGGAAGGTCAGAGGTGAGCTGGCAGGGGCGGCCGCCGGGACTGGGGGGCCCAGTGGCCCCAGAGGTGCTGGAGGTCTGGCAGTGCCTTCTTGCCCTCTGTCAGTGTTAACCAGGTAGAGAGGGACAACTATGACCTCAGGCTGGGCTGGGCTGGAGGAAGTAGCATCCTGTAGGAAATAAGGGGGTTGTTACGCAAAGGGGTACGGCAGCAGGGGAGAAGGAATTCCATATTTAAACAGTCGGGAGTGGACATGCAATGATGTACTCTGAGAACTATTTAATCGGTGCCCTTTGCTCAGGATGCATGAGACAGTCAGTGCTAGCCAGCTGGCCTCCTGACACTCTATGACACAGAGGGAACCCCATCCAACTAGACTTTCCATCCATCTATTTTTGAATCCTTTTAACACTTTAGGAGAGAGACAGAGAGAGAACAGGCAGGCAGGCTGTGTTTAACCCCCAGAGCTGCTTGTGGAGCCTGAAAGCTTGGGAGGAAATACAGTTTATTTGGCACTTGTTATAAAACATACACGCAGTGTCTCGTCGTAGTATCAGGCCACGTATTCCACACGCTGGCATACTTACATATTCACAGGAAGGACAGACAGGGAGACAGGAAGGACTGTGCTGAGATGTTTAGAGAATTCGGGGGTTCAAGCTGCAGCAGTATTAACGAGGACAGGGAGGGGAGGGCAGCCCGGAACACAAACAAGCTCTCACACCAGTTCCAGAAGAGACGGGGCAGACACACAAACATTCCTAGTTCCTTGCCTTGGCTGGATAACACGGCTGCAAAAGGTAAGGCTGTTTTCTCCTCCGGTTTTCGGGATGAGAGGTAACCTGGGGGCCTAGCACAGGTGGTCCCACTGCGTCTGGGAACGAAGGCCGAGTCCCCGGGGGAGGACTCTCGCCACGGTTACCAGCATCTTTACGGGGGTCAGAGAACAGCTGGGGAAAGTGAGGAGGAGCAGAGCGTGGCTTTCCCGTGCCCGCTGTGCAGGAGACAATGCTGGGAGCCGGTGCTCGAGTGCCTGGGGCTGGGTCACGTGCAACACGAGAGCAGCTTTCCGGTGCCACCGGGCCAATGTTATTGGCTAAACAAGGTACATATAAGCTGCTGACCTTTTTATTCCCAACTGCCTTCTGACGTGGGCTAGAGCTCACATTCCCACTATAAACAGTCCTGGTGGCTGCACGGTGGCGCTGGGGTTGGGATGAAGCACTGGGGGACGTGAAACCTGGAAGCGAAGGCCCCGGACACACCACACCTTCGGGAGCTGATCTGGCTGCCACGGGGGCAGAGACAGGCTGGGGAGGTGAGGGGTTCTGCTGGCTGGGGGTGCCGGGTGGGGCGTAAGGCTTTGGTGAGCTCCGGTAGAGCGAGTCCTTGGAGGAACTGTGGAGGGCAGGGGGCTGCCATGCAAAGTGGCCCACTTTAGGGAGAGGAGGGCGTGGGCGAGAGAGGGCCTTCAGCAAGATTTTCAAGACACAATATTAAGACAGAAAAAAGAGAGAGGAGGGGAAATGGAAAGAAGGACGACCATTAGAAACAGCAGCATAACATGATCTGAAGGAAAAAACAACACCACAATTCTAGACAAGTTTTTAAGCAAATCTCAGCGTAGACTCTCATGGAGTCTCCGCCTCTCTCTGGGTCAAGCCAACTCACTCACCTGAAGGGCAGGCCCGACCCCTCACCCGCAGGAGTGAGCTCAGCCGGGAGAGGCCCCGCGCTGAGTCAATGCTGATGCCGGTCCTGGGCTGAACTGCACTCAGACCTCCTGACTGAAGAGGGGCCCAGGCAGGGGCTAAGCCAGGAGAAGAAGCCCCAGGCCCCCAATGACTACACTCCTCTCCTCAAAGATTCTCCTCTTTATGCTTTTGGCTTTAAAAGTTTAAGTTCACTGAAACTCTCAAGGGTCTTTCATGTGTTTCCCTTAGGAAATGGAGACTCGGAAGAGCCATCCTTATTTGTGCTCACAGGAGTCAGAGGTCTAACGGAATCCCTGAGCCCTCGCACTCACTTCCATAAGCAGAACAATCACAGCTTGCCAAGGAGAGAATGCTAAGGGCTTAGCATCCACATGTGCTCTCTCCTCGGAGGAAACAAGTCGATGGAACTAATTATTAGAAGGAAGACAGGGTGGGGTGAAAAGCATGGAATCTCCGATTTCTGACGTACATGGAACAAAGGGATCAGACAATGAAGCACTTGATTCGCCTACCAGATTGGGTTGTACTGGGTTCATCAAACTCCAGCCATTCCCACCCAGCCCACTAGGAGGCACTGCATTCTGGAAGGATGTGATCAGCCCAGGGCTCCTGGCTTCAGAGCTGGAAAGCTACATACAGGTCACATCTCCCTCCCTCTCCCTCCACATGACTCCTCCATGGGGCTCGTGGAGCAGGAGGAAATGGGGTAAATCTCCAGACTGATCCTGTGAGAGCCATCTGTCAACCTGTGGCTCACCTGGGAATTAGACCATAAATGTGCAATTTATTTTCCTAGTGTTATGGCTGAATGTGTGTGTCGCCCCAAATTCATGTGCTGAGCCCCTAACCCTAAGTAATGAGTTTTAAAGGTGGATCTTTAGGAGGCACTTAGGATTAGATAAGGTCGTGAGGGTGGGCCCCCAAGATGTGAATAAGTGTCCTTATAAGAAAAGGAAGTGATCAGAGGCCTCTCTTTCTCTCTCTCTCTCTCTCTCTCTCTCTCTCTCTCTCTCTCTCTCTCTCTCCTTTTTCCTCTCCCTCTCCCTCTGTCACACCCCCCCCCCCTCGTCCCCCGCCGTCCCCCAGCATGTGAGGACACAGTGAGAAGGCAGCCATCTATGAGCCAGAAACAGAGCCCAAACCAGGAACCAAATAGGCCAGTATCTTGGACTCCCAGCCTCCAGAACTGTGAGAAATAAATATATATGGTGTTTTGTTCCAGCAGCCCAAGCCTAGACACTTAGATGCCCTTCTCTGGCCCCAGTCTTTAAAGATAACCTCCCTCCAAATGGCACAGGTGAGATCATTAGTGTGTGGTCAATATCTGGTAAATGGGTTGTGACCAAAAACTGGGAAGATACAAGGGTATGGGTCTATTTTGAGGTTGCTTTTTATTTTATTTTTATTTCTTTGTGGAGTGCAGGTGGTAAGGGGTAAAGGAATATTAGCCAGGGTAATTGAAGAGAAATAAAAACGTTTGATGAGCCTAGATTAGAATATCAAGCCAGAAGCAGCTGACCTATCCCTTAACAAACTCGGTTTTCAAATAACCTGGGTGGAGAAAAGCCTCCTTCGGTAGGTTGGGTTGACTTGATACCTATCCTTCCACAGGCTGCCCAAGACCTTGCCGGTGGGATGCGGCCACATGGCACATATATACTGGCCAAACAGACAAAAGGAGCAGCACCAGTTCAGTAGAAACCAGAAGCAAAGCCTTCCAGACGTGCTCACCTGGCCCCGTGAGCGCAGGCTGGAAGCTGGGGCGAGTTTAGAGACTAAAGGATGCTCTCTAGGAACAAAGTGCCTGAACTAACACGCACCCCTGGGACCGCGGGGTAAGGTGATAATGTGGCCAGGGAAGTAAATAAAAGACAATTTTGAATTAGGCTCCGATTTACTTTTACTTTGAGCCGGAGTGCCCCACATGTGATTCCTTCTTGTCCAAAGATAGAAATCAATTGCAATGAGGTTTTAACTAGATTTGGCTCTGGCCATATACGGTGCCACAGCTGCATTACATCAGGCGCGAGCCTTCCCAGGGCCTTGACCCGGTGGAGAGGATGCCTCCCCAGAGTGCTGACAACGCGCTCGGAGCCAGAGGCCTTCCTGTCCTGGGGCTGCTTTTAGCCCCAAAGAAGGAGGGGGTAGCCACGGTTCCCTTACATGGAAGGCGCTGCTTCATCGTAAACGTGGCAGGAACCACACTGGCAGTCCGCATCCTCCCCAGCAGGCTACTAATGAGCTCTCATTTCTCTTAGCAGAAAGCGAGGCTGCTTGGAAGCATCTGAGCGGCTCCTACTTTACACCAATCCCCCCCTCCCCTGAGGACACCAACACAATGACGCTGTTGGAGAGAGGGCAGCCCTGGCTCCCTATCACTGGGGGCAAGGACAGCAGGGCAGCGGGTCCAGGCTTGCAGGAGCCAGGAAAGCCTGTGGGAACAACAGGGACAGGCTCCCCCTGAAGCTTCTGGACCCTGACGCAGTCCTTCTGAAGAGATGCTAGGTCTGTAGGGATAGGAGAGCCTCCTACAGCTGAAACCAGGCCCGGCAGTCCCCTAGCCACCTGGCTGCTCCGAGCCAGTGAATACTCGCAGCTTTGGCAATGGCTCTACAGACAAGTTGCATTCAGCCAACAAATTCAAGAGGTAAGGCAAGACCTAAAGGTTCTTGACATTTGGATGGGCAACTTTACTCTGAACATACGGGATTCAACTGCTTTAGCAGCCATTTACTAGGATCCCTTTTTAAAAAAAAAAAAAAAAAAAAAAAAGCAATGTCTTGGATAGTGTCAGGTAAGAAAATACGCTATTCACAGGCAGTATTACAGGATATTCACACTTATAAAAGCTTACAAACTCCTCGAGGGCAACATTTAACACAGTGATCTGAATACAAGTGCCCAATAAAGCTGCAGTAAATGAATGTGTTTTAAGTGACTTTTGTTTAGTTCACATGCTTTTAAAATAATCTTTTTTGAAGAGCTGCTTAAGAAGCCAAAAGGAATCGGTGAGCTATCCTTGAGCTAAGTCACTGAGGGGAAGAGGGCGTGGGTCAGCGCTGTTTCCTAACCGGGCCGAGCCGCCCGTACCTATTCTGGAGAAGGAAGCCTGCCTGTGGACCACAGGCAGCAGGCAGCAGGCAGCATGCTTACCCGCCTGGAAGGTCACAGAAAGGGAAAACTAGGGCACGCCACCTACTGGGCAATCCAGGTCCCGGTGTCTAATGAAGACTTCCGGAGGCGCATTAGCAGCTCCTGGTTCTAACCAGTGGCCCTAGATGCACCGGCCATGGCCCAGGGAGGCAGCCGCGGTGCGGGAGGCCTGATGGTGCCGCTGGGCACACGGGCAGACCGTTAGGTGACCAGCTCTAACGCTGGGGAGGCGGGGTCTGCAGAGAGGCAGGAGGACGTTATCTTTGACTCGGTTTCTTTTCAGGGGCCAGTCCTCGGGAACAGGAACCAGAGGGCTGCTGGAGAAGGCGGGTGGGAGCCAGGAAGGAAATGCAGAACTCCCGGCGGGTCCTGGGAGAGGCACCCCGTCAGAGGCAGGCCCTGGGGAAGGACCACCCCGAGGAGCACACTTCTGCCACACACGTCGGGCAGCACAGCTTCCTTTAAAGGAAGGAACAGCTCTGTTCCGTGGCTGCGGCTCCTCTAATGTAAACCCCTTCACGAACTGCCTGATTAAAACAGGGCCATTGCTTTCTTCCCAACAGCAAACAGCCACAGGGAAGCGAGGGGCCATCAGGAAAACAATCTGGGGCAAGAGACTGAAGCAAAATGATCTCTGCTCCCAGTTGTACACCTGGGGGTTCTCTCCTAGGCAAGGTGAGAAGGTGGACTACAGGTGCTCCCATTTTGACTTCTAGCTGCTGCTCCTGGGCCAGGGCCTGAGGACTGGCCACTGCTCCCCATTTGAGGTTGAAGAGAGAAGAGTTGCTGGGACTCTTACAGCCCCACCTGCAGCCGGTTAACGGGATAAACACACGAGTGCAGTCTTGTCTTGAATATTACACTCTAAAGAGTTTTTAACAAACAGGCTCAGAACGTTCCCCCGCTACCCAAGGCCAAATGGCTTCCCTGTTCCAGAACATTCCTAAACACACGCTACTAGTATAACACATTGGGCCTCTATTTCCGATCCCCTGGGACAGACCAAGCTAGTCCCACACCTCTGCTCCCCTCAGCCCCAACTCTCCCCCAGGCTGGTGTCTGAGTTTCCCCAAAGTGGCCAACGGCACAACTCTGAGCCAGCCCATTCCCTAGCGGAGCAAGCTGGCAGTACAAACGGAAGCTAAACGACTTAGGAACAGGTACCGCTCACCGGTGCCCACTCCGCCCTGGGCACATGCCTACCTGGGGCTTGTCGGAAGGAAGGTTGGGGTGCACGCTTCTGTAGCCCTTGGCAGCGAGTGAAGAGGGCTGGGCGTTTCCATTGGCATCAGCATTGGAAGAAAGTCGCCACTCATCTGCGTGGAAAGAAAACAACACCCTCACTTGCAGGGAACGCTCTGGTTCCCTCTAATGGAAGGGTCCGGGGTGGAAGGCAGGGAAGGAAAAATCAAGGGACACATACCTGCTGGGGAATTCTCCAACTCCAGCACTGTGTGTGGTGCAGAAAGGATGAAAACAAGAGAAAAGGGGGGCGGGACAGAAATGGTTACGTTCGCAGGAAACCAGCATGTGCCCCACAGAAAGGCGTAAGCCCAGCGCCCCGCGGCCGGACACAGAATGCCCTCAGTCCCAGCGGCCTAATTACCATAGGAACCCACTCGAAGCCGCGATGTGCTCACAGGCGCTGACCTTTGCAAACACAAGGCCCACATTCACAGCAATGAAGAAACAATTGTTCCTTGACATTCTTATTTTACAGACTGAAAGGCAACAGAACTCCACTGTCCAGTCCCTCCTCACTAACTCTCGTCCCCTCCTTCACGCCTGATGTGGGCGCAGAGTGCCCCTCCTCACTGGCAGGGGACTGACGGGCAGACCCCGGAGAGGGAGAGGAGATGCGCACTTTCCCCGTGGCTGCTGGTGCTGGGCTCGGACAACATGATTTCAGCCCAGAGGTATCTGCTGTGCTAAGGGCTTCTTTTCTCCCCGCTGCTTTTCTTCTTTCTGTGAAACGAGCCACACAAACATTTAAAATCTAATCCCCCTTTCTGAGTTTTCACTGCACTACAAGGCACCCTTGTCTCCCTCCAGCCAGCTACCCCCCTGCCCTCCCAGTCACTGCCCGGTACATCTGAGACCCTAAACCTCTCCTAACGTGACCCACTTAACGCCATGGGGCAACAGGCCCAATGGTCATGAGCTTGGCTGGAAAGGCAGCTGGACCTCAATTCCGATCTTGACTCTATTACCTATGGGCTCTATGTCCCTGGTGATAAGCCTCAGTTTCTCCAGCTGAAGAATGGAGATAATGACATGCCTGCTTCATAAGTGCTGTTTTAAGAACTAAATTATATAATGCATGAGAAATGCTTAGCCCACGCCTGGTAGAGCTCAGCAAATGTCTACACTTATCATCTTCATCATCTCTCGCCTCTCTTCTCTATCCTCCATCTAGCCCAGTGGTTGGCGAGCTTTTTCTAGAACAGGCCACACAGTAAATGTTTTAGGCTCAGTGGGCCATATGGTCTCAGTGGTGACTACTCAACTCTTCTGTTGCAAAACAAGAGCAGGCATGGATGATATGCATGTGAACCAGTGTGGCCACATTCTAATACACCTTTATTTACGGGCACAACTTTGAATTTCATGTCATTTCCAAGCGGCATATAATACTGTTTTGATTTTCTTTCAACCGTTTAAAAATAGAAAAATCATTCGTAGTTCACAGGCTGTACAAAAATAGGCACGGCCACATCTGGCCCATCGGTATATTTGCCAACCCCCTGACTTAGCCAATCCCTCAGCTTCCTTCTTCTTCCTGGGCGCCTGCTCTGGTCTGACTCTGTACAGAGAAGAGAGGGAACAACACAGCAGTTCTCCCGGCCCAAGGCTCTGTTTCAGTGCGTCCCTCAAGGACTACAGATGGGCTTTCCAGATGTTGTTGAGATTTACACACATTTATTGAACACCTTTCTGCCAGACACTGTCAGTCACTTCTCCTATTTAGTGCACACAAGTCTTTACTTCATGGACAAGGAAACAAAGGCCACCTGACTTGCCCAAAGTCACACAGCCAGGAGGCGACAAAGCAGTCAGCCTGGGTCTCCAGAATGAAGTATGGCGCCCTACCCACTATCCATAGGAGAGTCAGCAACTCCACAAGGGCCACAAAGCACAGTCTACATTTCAGGGAGGTGGGGAGCCACAGGTGTCAGAGCTGCATCAGAATCACAGAGGGCTCACTGCCTTGCTCTGCCCCCCAGAGCCTCTGACTCATGATGGGAAGTTAGGTCCAAATATTTGCATTTTTAACATGTTCCCAAGGGAGGCCAAGCTGATGGTCCATAACCCACACTTTGAGAACCACTGATATAAGGAATACTTAGAAACATCCTTGTTCTAGAAAACCATATTTTTGTTTGCTTATTTTGCCACCGCCCCGCCGCCTCTGACCCCCAAATCTGGTCAGAGTTTTTACAGATTTCAGTTGTTTATTCCTTCAGTAGGTTGCCTGTTGCATTTCTGCCCCTCCCTTATGGACAAATCACAGGTATTTTGTCTTCTCTTCCCAGCCACAGAATTGGGAAATTTACAAGACTTGAATTTTACTCACATTATTGTGAGTAAAATTAGCTTGTGTGACCAAGGAAGGGCAAGCTGTCAATCACTTGAAACTTCACTCTCATCATCTATAAAGCATAATCCTTACTCCATGTACCCCTCACAGGGTTGCTGGAGATCCAGAGGTCAGGGATGTGAAGTAGCCTCAACGTGATCATTTTCAACCATTTCTGTTGCACCCATCCAGAACCCTGGCCCTCACACCTAACAGATCCTGAAGCACCAGGTGACACACTGCGACAATGACTCTCCCTACTCCCTGGCACCTGTCGCTTTTACCACCCTACCCTCCTTCCTACATTATTTCTACCTTTGTCAATCATTCTATCAAATTTATTAGATTTACAAATACACTAAAGTACCCATAGGCTCCGAGTGAGGGGCTTTTCCATACAGGATGTGAGCCTTCTACGTGGATTGTGAGCACCTTATTTTGCACCTTCTTTGGTTCTCAGTTGGGTTGGTTCTACTCAGGTGACACTGGCAAACAGATTATGTCGTGGAAAACTGAGAAGAGTCTGTGCTGCCGAAGGTCCGGGCAATCATAAAGGGATTCTCATGTCAGCACCAGACTGCCAGGTTGGAGTCCTCACTATCTCGCTAACTGCACATCCCTCGTTTGTGAAAGAGACATTATCTACTTCTTTTGAGTCATGAGGATCAAAGGGAAATGTCTGGCATAAAGTATGAGCTCAGTAAACTAGGAATCCAAAGCAAAAGGGGAAAAAAAATTGCCCAGATATAGAAGTAAATTAGAGTTGCTAACATCTGCCATTTGATAAATGGTGTCAAGAACATACTATTCTTGGGGCTCAACCCACTTTTTCTTCTAATTCCAAGTCATTAAAACGGTTGACCTTGCCTGCGGGTTCCAGGATCTCTTTGAGCATCCCTCCCCTCGCTTCCTTTAAAGGACAGCTGTGTTTCTGATGTTTCATCTCCCTTCATCTGTTACCCCGCCTTCTGAACCTTGAAGCTTGGCGGCAGCAGGACCATTATGTGCGCAGGACAGCACGTGAAATCTTATGCACATAACCATCAACTACTAACTCCGGTTTGAGGAGACTATCAGGAAGCTTCTTTCTATAAATGTCGGGAAGCTGGAGCCCAGGTAGGCTCTGCAGCTCGGAAGAGACGCGAGCCTTCCCACAAGAAGGAAGTAATATTTATTGCCTCATCTCTTTCTCCATCCATCCTTCACAATCTTTTCTGGCCTGAGACCAGACCACAGCCCCCTGCCTTTTTTTTTTTTTTTTTTGTATCTCTCTCTGTGCTAATTTCATTTTGGTCTGCTCTACAGTGTTTTACTGATCAGTTCTTCTTGGAATCTTAGGATAACTTTCTCTGAGAGAACTGATGCATTCTGGTAGAGTGTCTAATAGATGAGATGTGTTAAAAGTGGTTCTAAGAGTGTTTTGAGCTCGTTTGTTTATTTTTTTACTCATGCTATGTGGTAAAGAACTCAACCTTACTCAAAAAGACGTCTGGCTTTGCCCTCTGGCTTCTGGGAGATATTCTCTAAACCCTGGAAGGTCATCCTGACAGGAGTGTCCCTGAGTCACACCAAAGATGTGGCTCAGGGTATCAGCACAGGGGCAGTGGGAAAGCCTATGTAAGGAAGTCTCAACAAGAACTCTGCACATGCCCAGCCAGTGTGACTCTGTGGTTGAGCGTCAGCCTATGAACCAGGAGGTCACAGTTCTATTCCCTGGGTTGCAGGGTTGATACTCAGTAGGGGGCATGCAGGAGGCAGCCAACCAATGATTCTCTCTCATCACTGATGTTTTTCTCTCTCCCTTCCTCTCTGAAATTAATAAAAATATAATATTTAAAAACCAACAACTCTGGACACATGGCTCAGGGGCACTTCCTGGTTGGAGCATCTGAGCATAGTGTACCCCTTGGGGCCAGAAACTGCACATCCTGACTCCCCAGGAGAGGACAATGGAAACTGTGCTTCTGGCCGATTTTAATCTGAAATAAACCATAGCCATGAGCAAAATAACTTTCAATGAGCTCTCTGAGTACTAGCAAATGACCAACTCTGGGGATGGTGTTGGGAATCCCCTGAACTTGGAGTTGGTGTCAGAGTGAGGGAATTCTCTTTTATGGACTTTCCCACCATCTCTTGGCCCTGATTCTCACACATGTGCTCATAAAAAGGACTCTGTGGTAACAAGGGCAGGAAATGCCTTAAACTGCTTCAATATTAATTTTCTCATGACACCTTTCTGCTCCTGCCATTTCTGGAAAGCAAATACGAGGTTCAAACTAGAGGAAATGAGCTGATTGCAGGTCCAGGAATCTTCATGTCAAAAGCTGACTTGTTTCTCAAGAACCAGGCAGGAGTGGAGCCAACTGGCACAGAATGAGCAACATGTCAGATATGACCTGCATTTTGGCTTGTGAGTCAAAAGGCAGAGAGTGATGGTCTTCAGGCTACCCTGGACAGGCAGCGTATCACACCCATCACCAGTTCAGGCTTCCTGTCTCCTCTTGAGTAAAAATGCCCTGACCTGGGATGTGGTGGGGTCATTCTGAACTATGGGGCCGACACTGAGACTGGCCAGGCACTGGCATCAGGAAGCAGGGATAAGGTAATGCCTTCTGCAGTAACTTTAATGGTTCTGATCCAAAAACCAAGGTCCACGATCTGAGATTAAGGAGGCTGATTGGAAAGCCATGGTCAGGGACCCAGAGTCAAGCTACCACTTGAGAGTAGGAGTCTGGACTGTGGGTTTGAACTGGGCGACTCCAAAGGCTCCATCTGCCCCTGATCCCCAGCATCTCCACCTTCCCATGTTCATCTGATTAGGTGGCTCCCAAATCCATACTTCGACTTCAACTTCCTCCCAGAAGTTCTTTTTTTGCCAAAAAAATTCAACACCTCTAACAAAGGAATTCAACAGCCCTTCACCTTCCTGAATAAATCCTCCATCTCCATGAGTGGCAGTTATTCTCCTCTCTGCACGAAGCTCTACGCCTCCATGCTCCTTACCCACACTGCACCGAGCCCTGCCCATTCCCTCTTCCGAATCCACTTACCCTTGGCCGCTGCTCTTCTTCCTGCTGCCACCATGCCAGGCCCAGGCCCTCGTGGCCTCTAACTGAAATTACTGAATGTCTTTGAAGGGCCTCCTGTCTGCAGTAATTAGAATGGTTACATGCCTGGCTCTGTGTTAAGTGTTGATATGAAAGAGCTCACTGAATCCCAACAACTCTATTACAATCATTCCTATTTTGTAAATGAGAAACTGAAGCTCTCTAAGGCTGAGTGATTTGCCCCTATCACAAAGACGGTAAGTGGCAGAGCTGAGCCTCGGAGAGCTCTATGATTCAAGGACAAGCCCAGGATGAGAGTTGGAACAAGGACTGGAAATAGGGGGTATCTCTAAAACTTGGGTGTCCAAGGCCCATGTAAGGGAAGAAATCAGATGCAAGTGCTGGGCAGTGTGGGGGATTGGAGCTTCCAGACTATGTAGGCCAATGATCACCAACTTGGAGACCTGCAGGAATGGAAGAAGGTGGCAAAGGCAGGGAGCAAGGTGGGAAGGGGAGTAGACAGAGCAGCTGGAGGACAGATACTGGCCTAGTGATCAAGGAGGGAGCCGGACATTATCTGGCATTAGTTCTCTGTGAAGACACTGGGAGTAGAAAGCATGCCCAATCCTTGGCAAGAGCCACTCATTACCTCACACTTGGTAGGGCTTCCAGGCCAGGTTGAGCATGGCTACCTGCAAATATTGTTAAAGACTATTTTCATGAGGCAGGTCCAGGCCCAGGGCCCCCCAGGCCTAGGACAGGACGCAGACTGGTGTGGGCCAGCAAGTTGTCCAGAGGCCCAGAGCGAGGGAGTAGGCAGGGATGAGAGGAGGACAAAGGAACCAGGATGCTGGCCAATGAGCAGCAGAGAACAGGGACAAGACCCCCAGGCCTGAAGGTCCTATCTCTAGAGTCACATCTTTTTAACCTCACCCCCAGTATTAACTCGTTCCAGCCTGTGGTGTATCTTAATCACTACGGGGCTTTCCCCCCTCTACTTAAAGCAATCTTATTCCTTCCCATCCAAACTGCTCTAGCACACAATACTGAATTTGTCCAGTGAATGGAAATCAGTTTGTGTCAGGTCAGTTTCCAAACTTGTTAGGCCACAGAGCATTTTGGAACTAGAATGGCTTGGAAACCATGTTACCCAGTCCCTCATACTTCAGATGTGCTTAAAATGTGTGGCTTAACCACAGTCAGAAAGCAGGTGGTGGATTAGGGGCCCACACCTGGCTCTCCTAGTATTATACAACAAACTGCCTTCTGTCCTCACCTAACGCACCCAGGATTATTCTCCCTTTTCCTTCCTTTCTCCCTGCTTTTCATCACAATCCCCAGTGACTCGCTTAGAGTCTGACAGAGATGATGCTAAGTGAATGGCTGAATGAATAATTTGGACTCAGTGACCTCAATTTACGAGGATGAAAATAATTTACTAAGATTTACCGTAAAGTGTGAATGACTGATAGCTATCCCCTAATTCTTCAGAGTCTTTGCATTTTAAAACATGATCTTTTATCACCCAAAATAGCTGTTATAAATGTATAAGACATAGAATTATTTGGGGACTAGAGAAAGTTTTCTAAAGTGACTCAAATAACTGCACAGTCTTGTAGTGAAAGCCTCCTGACAGCGTGACAGGTGGGTAGCTCAGTTGGTTCAAGTGTCATCCTGATATACCAAGGTTGAGGGTTTGATTCCCTGTTAAGGTACATATATAAGAATCAACTAATTAATGCATAAATAAGTGGAACACATTGATCTCTCTCTCCTCACTCCCCTACCCTTCTTTCTCTAAAATCAATAAATTAAAAGAGAACATTTGCATTGATAGTGCCACGCTATAACCACCAGGGGGAGCTCAAGGCTCCTCCTTCCCTTCACCTCTCATTCACCACCAGAGAAAGGGCCAGGTGGTGACAGGTTGTTTTACTGGGCCATTGGGCGGGAGGAAGGTTTTTCTCTTTAACCAGCAGTTGGGCTTCTCTCTTCCCCAAACGTCCTCCAGCTTGGGAGCTGGATATACCCAAGTAGTCCTGACGAGGTTGTATTAGACTTGTTTTAGGAAGAAATTATTTTGCCTTCACTTCCTGGCCCCACCTTTCCTGGAGATGAGAATGGATGGCAAACAGCAGTGGGGTGAGAGTCAGGCATAAGTTCAGGAATCTAGGGCCAAGAAGCCCCTTTTGAGTTTTAGTGCTGGAGGCCACTCACACTTTCCTTAGTCAAGGGAAAAGCAGTCACACTCCAGCCTGGTCTCGCCCTAGGACATTTGCCTCGGCACTTGCTACGGGTGGCTGGGACAGAAAGAAAGCAGTTCCCAGGATGCTGGGCCCTGACCATCCCCATCTTGTCTAATTCCCTTCTATCACCACACACTGCTCCCCACTGTGCCAAAGAGTTTTCACGCCCCCTTCCTTTCCTCTCTGGTCCCAAGGGAGTAGTCATCACCCCAATTCCTTTTCTCCCCTATTTCCTTCCTTTAAGATACTCCCATCCCCTGTAGCAGTAGCTCTCAAATGTGATCCTCGGACCAGCAGCATCAGCATGACCTGGGAACCTGTCAGAAATGCAGAACCTGAGACTGCATCCTAGCCCTTCGGGTGGGAATCAGGAATTCTAAAGCTCTGACGTGGGCGCAGGAACCTGTGTTTTTATCCAGGTGATTCTGATGCAACGCAAGTGTGAGGACCGCCCATGGCCCCACCGAGTGGAGAGGACCGTCCTGCCCGATCCTGACAGTGCCTGTGGAACCTCAATGTCAGCGCTTCCCAGCTCCCAGGACCCTTGGGCTACGGAAAGCTCTCTCTAAAGAGGCCAGAATAATCACGTCTTCCCAAGGTTACAGAGCATTTGAAACTAGAATGGCTTGGAAACCATCTGCCCAGGCCCCTCAGGTTTCACATGTGTTCAAAGGTGTGACTTATCCAGGGTATGAAAACACTACCAAGGCAGTGGATGAGGGGCCCATGTCTGGCTCAACTGTTGCAACAAATGCAGCCCATTCCATGCTACCAGGTGTGGTGCAAAACACCTCCCGCCCTTCAACCTCACAAGGATACAGCAGGCAGTGCAGGTGAGACTGCCAGCATTGAGAGACTAACCATATCCCCCAAGCTCGCACACCCAACAGGTGGTGAAGGACCGGAACACAGATCTACCAGCTCCCAAAGTCCGAGGTCTAAACCTAGACACCCAGGCTTCCAGAGTGGCGAGGTGCATGGGGGCGGGACTTCAGACAGGCTTCTTTGTTTCCTTAGCTCCTAGTCTGCACTGGTCTGAGACCTGCTCTTTGGGTCCTGCTCCCTGAGCTGCCAGGTCATACCCCTCCCTACCCCCCCCCCCCCCCCCCCCTTAACCCTCTCCCGCCAAGCCTGAGCCCTGCCCCTCCTTTGCTCTCCTGGGAGCCAGGTCAGTCAGCTGCCTGCACTTCTCAGTGCCCTCGGGCTTCCTCTCAGCCCCAGCCCTGCCTGGCTAGGCACAGCCAAGCCCTCAGAGACACCTAACCGTTAGCCCATCTCTCCACTGCCTCCCCATGTCCCCAAGCCTCTCCGTCCTCACCAGCGCAGTCAGCAGAGCCCCCAGCCCTGAGACAGGGTGTCTGCCCACCTGTCCAGTCAAAACAAAAATAAAGTGGTGGCTTCTGCTGTGCCTCTGCCAGAACCAAGGGGACCCTGTCAGTTCAGGGCGTTGATCACCATGTGTCCCTGGTGGGACAAAAAGCTGACTGACCCAGGGGCCCCTGGGAGAATCAGGAAGCAGCTGCTGAATCCGTGGCTCTTCACACGTGACTTGAATACCTGCCCCTAGTCGCAGGGGTGGCTCACCTGGTTTGCTTTCGTATTGCGGGGTTTCCTGAGGGCTCACAGGGCTACTGCTTGGGGTGTCCCTGTAGGAGGATGAGGCCCGGAGAGTCACGGCTCCCTTCCCAGTGCAGACTTTTGTAGGATCCATGTCTGGAAAGGAAAGACCCAAAAGAGTGGACTGAATGCAAAACTCCTAAAGGATTAAGCAACAGCCAGCAGTCAACTTGTTATGGCTGGGGGAATGAGATGGACCCGCTCACAGCCACGCAGCCTTATGGTCAATGAACATTAATTTGTGGGTCGTGGAGAGGAATGAACCCCATTTTCAGAGGTTTACCACCCATCATGAGGTTAGGGGGAAATGGAGTACATGTATGAGTTACAATATCAGCTGAAGACATTTCAAAATAAAAGCAGGGTTCTTTCTTTTATTAAATGAAGTTTAGGTTGGTGAGCAGACATCTGACCAATTAGTAAGGCGCAGAGTTTATAAAGATTTCTCAAGTTTCCAGACGATCTGTCTTAGAAAAGCTCTAGGCACATCAGGAATTCAGGGGTTCTCTGCAGAGAATCACTCTCTAGTGGGAAAAGGAAAAGGAAACCTGCACCAGCAAGTCAGGACCCTGAAAAGATGAGACGGGATCTGCTGCCTGGGCAGAAACGCCAGGGGAGAGCCTCACTTTCCAACTTAATGAAGAAAATTCACACCAAAGCCAAGGACCAGGAATGCTAAACCCTCCCCTGAACAATGTGCGCGGCACCCAGCTGAGCCGTCACTGGGTCCCGACCTCTCCGCAGCTGACAACGGCCTATTAACAGGCCCGGGTCATCCTTCAGAATCGCACTGAGAAGCATTTCAAAAACAGGCTTCAAAAGAGCCGGCTGCTCCCCCTCCGGAGAGCCGGCCCGGGAGGCGCCGCACGCAGAGCACAGCCCTGGCAGGCGCGCGTGCTCACCTTTTCTCTGTGCGGCTGAGCTGAACTGAATTCCACAGCCCAGCTGGGATCGCTGACCTAAAATCCTCAAGCCTGGGATTATGAGGTCAAGTGTAAGGTGGGCAGTGGACAGGAGGTGGGCTCGGACGTCCACCTCATCCCCAGGCCTGTGGAAGGCAGAGAGAAGCGAAGCCTCTTTTCCGAGGTCAGCCCAGTTCAGAGGGTCCCTGTGCGGCCACATGAATTCTCGGGGAGACTGGAGTTCTAAGGAAGTACTGGGAGCTGAACCCCTCCAGGGAGAGCCTAAGAAGACCCTGTACCTCAGACCTGCACAGAGTAAATGCTTACCTTCTGGGTGACCCTTCTCCTAAAGAGGGCAGGGGCCACAAGGTAGCTGTCAGTTTGTCTCCAGACTGGCTGGCTCACAGAAACACACACACACACACACACACACACACACACACACACACACACAAAGGAAACCAACCGAGGAAGTGAGGAGGAATGGCTCCTAAGCATGCAGGGATTTAGCCTCCAATCTTTGTTAGAAGGAAAGAAGAAACACCATGCATGATCTGCTCACAATTAAAAGAAGACACCAGCCCAAGGAGAGGTACCTGGAGGGAGTACTAGGCCTGGAGAGCTTTTCACTGTCTTCACAGGAATTATTTTAACGGCAGAGATAGAGCGTGCGCGTGAGGGGTCGGTGGTTGCTGCAAACACAAAAGGGTGAATGGTGCCTCCAGGAAGGACATTTGGGAAACACTCAGGCAGTTGAGGAACTCGGCAGGGACAATAGGAGGAAGTCGCCCACATGAAAGGAACAATAGAAAGAGCAGTAGATGCAGGGATGTGAAATAACCTGCTTTCTCTCTTTGGAGCTCTGTGCCAAGACGGCAGAACCCTCCCTCCTACCGGAGCCCGCGTGCAGTTGGTCAGTGTCTCTGTACCTCCTGCCACACCAGGAACTTGCCAAGAGTTAGAGATGCAGATGGCCTGGCAAATAGAGGAAGGGGAGAGAATCAAGGTCCAAGGGCCCCTGAAAGGATGTTGGGGTGTCTGTGCTGGGTTGGGGGAAGGGGCTTCGAGGAGAGCTATGGCTCCGGCCCCAGGTGAGAGGAGGAAGCAAAGGGACCAGTCTGTGAGTTGCCTGGTTCTTTCAGCCATCTCAACGGCTTCCATAGAATCGTACCTTCTGGGGTCTTGAGCCTGCTCTGACAAGTATAGCTCTCTGTCCCCAAGCAAATCAGAACCCCCATCTGTCGGGCAGCAGATGGTCTTGCTTCAACCCACCCTTTCTCGGGCAGGAGGTTGCCAAGTGTCCAAGTGCACGTTCAAGACAAGGGCAGCACCCAAGTGCGCAGCCCGGGATCTGACCCCGGCTGAGCTTGAAGAGCTGGGATAACTCATGGGGCGCAGCAAGGGCTGCCAGTGTGAAAGTACAAACATGTTTTTGCAGCAATCCTGTCTATTCACTGCTCTGTAAGACCAGCGGGGAGACTGGCTGGTGGGAGACTTCTTTTATGTTATCATTTTCAGAGGAAGAAGCCAGAGGCTCAGAGAGCTGCTCAGAGTCACCGGGCTCTCAAGGGAAGAAGCTGAGGCGAGAGCTCTCTGTCCCTGCACTGGGTTCAGGGACCTCCTTGGGCCACCAGGATGACCTGTGGGTTGCATCTGCCTCCTCCTCCCAACCAAAGATGATTTTTACTGAAGAGAGAACAGAAATTACCCCCATCTGCCGCCTCCCCCCATACCCCTGAGCCTCTTCCTTAAGTGAATTCACAGGGATGGTGTTGCTGGCACCACAGATTTTAAAAGCATCAGAGCCCACCCTCTCCGAGCTCCTCACGGGAGGACAAATCCTACCCTGGAGCCACTCCACAGACACCGCCCTTAACTTCCCCTGGAGCAACCCCGCCCGACTGTCCAGGGCCCCCCGAGAACACAGCCCCACCCCCTGAGTGCAGGAGGGCGGCCAGCAGGGAGGCAAGAACAGGCCGGCAGCAGGACACCTCTTGCCAGAGGAACCGCCCCAAACCACGGCCCGCTCCCCGCCCCTCCGCTCTCTAAGTCTTCCCTCTCCAGCTCTTCCTTCTGACTCTGCATTTGGCCTTGAACTCTTGGCTTAGCCGGCCTAAAATTATGAAAGCCAAACTTGTCAAACTCTCTGAAGTTACTTAAAGGCCCAGTGATAGGACTCCTGCCCTCCTTCTCTGCTAGCCTAAAATTAGGTGGGTGACACAGAGAGAATCACTGGCACCCAGGATTTGAAGCAGGAATAAGTCCTGCAGATCATACAATGCCTATGTTTTCTAGACACACCCATAAGGACAAAGGACCTCATGAGATGCCGTATCTTATCACTGCAACCCTTCCCTCGCTGCAGAAGTACCACGGGAGGCCCTGCTGCCTGGTACTCAGGCAGCCCCATCGAGATATTCAGGATGAGAGATGACAGGGCAAATGGGACCTCAAAGGTCATCTTATCCATCTCTCATTTCACACTTAAATCTTTCATCCTAATGTTTTTTAAAACCGAAAATATGAGAGGATGTGCATGAAATGAATGCCACGGAAATAATTTATTCCAGCAACTAAGGCTCTTGTCTCAGGGTCAGGGCTATGGAGGTGAAATGCCGGTGAGGAAAACTTCAGGCTGATAAATGCCATATGCAGGAGGCAGGAGGCACACCTCTGTCTGTGTATTTGATCTGCTATTTGAAACACCCTGTGAGCAAGGGACAGTTTTTAATAAGTCACCTCACAGTGGGGAGCAGCAGTCTCAGACTCCTGAGATGCAAGATCACGCTCACGGTCTCAGAAACTCAGTGTGGGAAACAGGTGTCCAGTGAAGGGCCCGATTGGACCATGGCTATTCTCACTGGACAGGTGGTCCTGCCCTGGTATCCTGCCCCTTCTAGAAATGCTTCCCAGTACCAAGCTGGACCTCCCTCTAAAAGCCTTACCTTTGTCCTGCCCATTGCTGCCTGGTGCCAACCCGTTCACCACGGCTTTAGAAGCGCCAACGTCATATTCTGGAAGAAAGAAAGAAGCATGAGGCTAGTGATAAGGACTCCCCAACATGTGTTGAGTCCTACCTGGTGGGAGGTGCTGGGGATGTGTGGGCTCTCTCAGGCCTGGAGATGGGCCCTATTGGACGTCATGGGAGAATTCTGAGAATCATGTGTTGTCTGGACCAGGAGAGAAAGCAAAAGCTGTTTTCACGCCGCTCTGTCCAGCAGGTTAAAAAAAATGTTTCCCACAGAACAGCTTTCTTCCTAATAACCATTTTTAATAGCGGCATAATATTCCACCATGTGAATACACAGCATGAACTTAGAAAGACCCCACCTTCATGTGGGTGGTTTTTGTTTTCTTGGAATTAAGACAGAAATTCCCAAGAGTGGGGTTATCAGGCCAGAGGGTCCAGACCTTTTGGACGCTATGAAAAGCCTCCTTCTAGCACCGCACCCAAGAGGGAGAAGCAGGGAGACCTCCCGCGGGCACTTCCACACCCTCGCCTCCGGCCTGGCCCTCCCTTCCTACTTCCTCTGCCCTTATTTTGCCAGGAGTAGGTAGCAACGCCTGTTTGGGCTAATTTTGACATTAGAAGAACAAAACAACATTAGGCTGCAGAGCCAACATTTAAAAAAATGACAACAAAAGCAGAAAAGCGTTACAAACCAGGAGCTGCTGGCAGCACCTGAGCCCCTGGGAGGGAAAAGGTGTGCAGCCTCTTCTGCACAAGAGCACGGAAGGCATCAGGGGCAAGTCCACCCTCGCAAGGAGAACATTAGAGCTGGAAACCCATGGACAGACCAGCCAAACCTCCACCTAGTACTTAGGGAGCAATGCCCCCACTTAACCCTCACGCAATCCCAGTGAGCTGGTGCTTTTAGGATGTCTGTTTCATGGAAGAGAATGCAGAGAAAGGTCAATCACAGGCCCAAGGTCACAGAGTGGTACCCGAGGAAGCCAAGGTGTGGCCCTGAGCTAATCCACCCAGAGCCCTCCTCTGTCCTAAGCACACAAGTCAGCCAGTTTAGGACCTGGCTAAAAGCACTGTATGTAAATACGTGGAAAGACTTGTTTCTCATCCTCAGATTTCTGGAACATGCTGGAAATAATGCAGGATTGGAATACCCTGAATAAGCTAGTCCCTTAGTCATTCCCCTAATCCCCTCTGCCTGCAGGTCACGGGAGGATCTAGTCAGGCTCAGTGGTGGAGGTGGGCTCAGTGGCTGAGGTGGGCTAAGTGACCAAATCAGGCTCAGTGGCCGAGGCAGGGTCAGTGACTGAGGCGGGCTCAGTGGCTGAATCAGGCTTAGTGGCCGAATCAAGCTCAGTGGCTGAGGTGGGCTCAGTGGCCGAGGCGGGTTCAGTGGCCGAGGCTAATAGGCCTTAATCTCCAGATGGAAACTTCTCTGCCTCAAACTCCTGGCTGCACAATGAGCAGGGGCTTGTTCCATTCCCCATCTTCCCTAGCCCTGCTGTCCACCCCAGCTCTAAATTCAATATACTCAAAAAGGTTCATTTGTGTAGGTCTTGATTTTTACTACCAGAGGCATAGCAAAGGGGAGCAAACCGCTCTGTCAGCCTGGATGAAGGAAGGGTTAGATTAGCTTGCATCCAGGGGCAATTGTAGTCCTTCGGTTTAATTTGTGCTGTACTCACTGGGATTAAGAAATGCCATTGAGGTGCATACATGTCAAAATTTATCAAATTGTATATTTAAAAGATCCACAGTTTACTGAATGCCAATTATACCTCCATAAAGTTGTTAAAAATAGAGAGAAAGGAAGCTATTACAAAGATGAGGACATGTGCATGTAAAGTGTATAGCATAGTTCCTGTCACGTGGTAGAGAATAAATCCTCAAAAATGCCTGTGATGATATTGATGATGACGATTTATGACAAAGCTCTGGCACTTACCCAGGTCTCAAAAATAAAAAATGAAATGTAGCTGGAACCTTCAGAGTAAGTAGGAAATCTGGGGAAACTGCCCAGTTTTGTAGATTTGTCCAGAAGAAAAGGGTTTTTAAATGACTTACCAGAGCTCATGGTGGTGACAGGACAAATCTTCTGCAAATGGGGCTCGGCACTGCTCTGCAGAAAAACAAAATCACACAATGAAACCGATAAATGGCAAGTTTGAGATAAGTCCCTGTGGCTCGCATTGAAAAGGAAAAAACAACACATGTATCCTTGATAAAACAGAGCTGAACCAGGAGTCAACTTGGCCAAGCTACTGGTCTGCTACGTACTAACAGGACCGTGGGCATGTCACTCAGCTATCTTGGCCACAGTTTTGTTGCCTGTACTTGATTTCAATACTATCCACACAGCTCTAATCCTATATAATAAAACCCTAATATGCAAATCAACCAAACAGCAGAACGACCAGTCACTATGATGTGCACTGACCACTAGGGGGCAGACTGAAATGCAGGAGCTGCCCCCTGGTGTCAGGGCACTCCCACAGAGGGAGGACCACTCAGCCAGAAGCTGGGCTCATGGCTGGCAAGAGGGCGCAGGCTGGGCTGAGGGACCCCTTCCCTCTCCCCTACCGCTTCCCCTTCCCCCCGTGCATGAATGCTGTGCATTGGGCCTCTAATATACAAATAAAACCCTAGAGTTACATGAGTGCACATGGGTCATGGAGAGGGTGGAGGAAAGAACCAAGTTTTAGGAGAAAGGTGAAATCACAATATTATTGGAGGTTAATAATAATAACAATAAGAGTAGCAGCAATAAATAAATCTTATAAAGCATAGGGAAATGTTCAAGATGCTTTAATTATATTAATTCACTTGATTCTCACAATGACCCTATAAGGAAAGCACTAACACTGTGTTAATTCATACACATGAGGAAACCGAGGCGCAGAGAGGTGAACAGAGAGTTGCTACTGGAACCCAGACAGCCTGACTTGAAAGCCAGGCACTTAGGCACTGCACTCACCCCTGACACCTAAATGAATAACCCTCTCAGTTAGTATGATCTCATCACCAGTAATGCCACTAGTTTCTTCTTTCTTAGAACTTCATGTAAATGGTATCATAGTGCATGTAATTTTCTGTACAGCTTCTCTTGCTCAGCATAACACAATTTAGCATTTGGCACAAATATGTGGGCCTATTTCTGGACTTCATTCTTTCCCACTGATCTGTCTTTATCCAATAACTCAGTGTCTTGAGTTTGTTATCCAATAACTTATTATAGCTTTATAGTAGGTGTTAAAATCAGGTAGCATCAGTCTTCTAACTTCGTTGTTTTTTTTTTCCAAAATTGTTTTGGCTTTTCTAGGTCCTTTGCATTTTCATATAAAGTGTAGAATCATCTTTCAAATTTTACCAAAAACAAGAACAAAAAGCCTGGCGGAATTTTTATTGTGATCATGTTGAATCTATAGATTAAGCTGGGGGAAATTTAAACCATGTTTAAATTTGCATGTTGCATTTTCCGGTTCATGAGAATAGACAATCTCTCCCTTTCTGCAGTCTTTAGTTTCTTCCAGCAGTGGTTTTGTGGTGCTCAAAGCACAGGTCTTACACATATTCCCAATAGCCAGGCGTTGCTGAACACATATGCAAGGCAATCTGTAAAGCATGTCTTCAGGGTACCGTTAAGTGGAACCTTGCTACTGCAGGTGTGGTCTGAACACAGCAGCACTGGCATCAGCTGGGAGCTTATTAAAAACGCAGAAAACTCTGAATCTACACCAACTGAGTTAGAATCTGCATTTTGAAAAGATCCCCAGATGGTCCCTCTGCCCTTTAGGGTGTGATAAGCAATGATGTAGAGGAAATCAACTCCCAGGCCCGTACATTCTGTAGCAAGGAGGTCAAGGTATGGCCTGAGGCTCTGTACAAGGAGACAAGCTTTAGTTTCCTTTCCAACATGGACACCTGTTTCCTTTTTAGGTGGCTGCCTTGCTGTCCTTGGAATTGATGGGGCAGAATGCGCAAGTCAACAAGGAAATCACTCCAAGTCCTCTGCAGCCCAAATCAGCACGAACTTTGCCTCTGTCATTGTCAACACACCTGAGATGACCCATGACCTTCAACAGCCCCCTCGGGTCATTCTCTAAGCGGCGGAAACGTGTCCTCTCAGTCAAGAACACAACCTGTGTTTTGCATGTCCCAGTGGTTTCCAACCCTGGTTTGATGATACATCAATGTGCTTCCCAGGACCAAAAGGGCTGTGGTAATAGCATCCAAACATTTTCATGCAAAACATTATTTTGGTAATCAACGTTTTATGTTAAGGTTTTACTTATTTTTAAAGCATTATTTAAGAAATGGTATTATTCAATCACAGAGCTATCTTAACAGAAATAACTTCTATTCCTTTACAGTCCTTTTTACCTTCATCTATTATTCACCTAACACTTAAATACTTGTAACCATACGTCTGGGCAGTTTTGTGTTCTAACTTTTAAATTAAATATTTCATGAACATTTCCTGGACTTCTACAGTCATTAAATCCATCGTTTTAGTGGCTATATCGTATTTCATAGTATTAACATGCCATAATTCATTTACCAATTCCCTCTGTATAATTTAGTTTAATTCATCTTAATTTTGTAAATAAGTACATAGCACAACAGCATTCTTAGGTAGGGGAGAGATGAATGGAAACATTCTATGAACCAAACACAAAGGCTGCCTCGTCTCACACATAATGAGTGGATAGCCTTTTGCTGTTTTATATTTTTAATATAGATTCTGGCGATTTCTAAGTGTCAGCCCCTCTTACTTACAAACTAATCTTAAGTACACATGGTCAGGGCTAATACCCAAAAACTATCCATCACTTTGCCACAATGTCCATAACCACAGCAGACGCCAGCTAAGGCAGTCTCAGGGCACCTCTCCCTATGCCAGGTGCCAACCATGCAGTGGCTGGTTGTAAGAAGCTGGAAGAGAATGGGCCCAGGCTGGTAGGTAGGACACTGTTTTGACATTTTAAGAACTAGTATGACAGTAGGTGTCAATGATGATGCATAGGTGAGTACACACAAAGACTTCTGGGGGAGTAGGCTCTGTTGTTGTCACTTGGTGATTGATTGAATCTGCAGCAGGTGACACAAAATTGCAGTGGTCGTTTAAAATAAAAACTGCAGCAAGAATGGCAGTGGCAGCTGTGCCAAGGATGGCAACAGGGGTGGCAACAGCAGTGACACCCTATCCAGACTATTCCAGAGACTGATTCTGGCTCTGATTCCAGCCAACTCAGCCTCCTTGAATTCCTGTCCTGTTCTGAGTGCCATTCCCCAGCCTCCCATAAACTCAGAACTATCTGAGATTTTGCCAATAAATCCCTTTTCAGTGTGAGGTGACCAGAGGTGGTTTCTGATCGTTTGCAACCCAAAAACCTTGACCAAGAAAGACCTTCATCCCTCTGCAGTAAGACCAGCCAGATCTGAATCCCATGTGGCTCAGCAAATGGTTTTGTCAGCGAAGCTGCATCCGGAAGCTGCACAAATTGAGCCTGACCAGAAGAACGCCAAGAGCTTTTAGAAAGTCACAATCCAGTCCTTGCTGTTTATTTAGACACTAGAGGCTCAATGCACGAAATTCATGCAAGGGGTCGGCCCTCACAGCCCTGGCTTTGTCTGTAAGGACGTCAGATATAATTAGCATATTATGTTTTTATTATTATAGATAGTACAAGCTATTACAATCATATGTATTGTAGAATGTGAGAGTTTATTTTACATAAAAAATCCATGACACTTAATATTTGTTTTAAAACTAAGCTGTAGACTGTAGAGAGCTGATTTGGTTGTGCACATGATGGCACCTCTTTGGAATTTCTCCCATGTGTCCCCTCCAAGGGGAACCTTTGGGTAAAAGCCAAAAAGATGAACAGTGCCAACTAGTGACAAAACCAGACATCTTTTTCCCAGTGGGTTGCAGGAACCTACACAATATCCCAGCTTGGGTGGGCCATTGAGGGTCCAGTCACCACTCCCCTCCTTGGGCCATGGGACCTACCATACTTGGTCAAAGCATCGCAGCATCCACATAAACATTCCACCAGAAGAACAAGATGTGAAGTAGCCAGACTTGTTAAGAACGCATCTGGATAATTAACAGTTCGGTATGGTCCCTCCCTCACTCCACGACCCTATAATTCTGAGATGACACAGAATGAATAATTACTGAAAAGCAAAAGTTATACTCCCGCTTCCAGCTGAAATAGGATCCAATAACTAAATATGGGTTTTTGTTGGGGAAGGAAAGTAAGTCCTTATATGGGTGGTTCAGGGATATGTGACTAGGGAAGAATTGAGTTTGCCTCTAAGAGTGAGTTCAAGGTCCAGTGAAAGTTTGTGGAAGAGAATGAGCCTTTGGTTGACCTCTCAACACAGCATGCTCCAGCTTCTCCTATGCACTGCGGAATTTTATCTTCATGACCCCTCCCCCCAAAACACACTCTAACAAAGGACTGTAAGTTACAGGAGTGGAGACCAGATGTCATCCTCAGGAGCAAGGATACAGTGGGTGCTCTATCATGAACTTTGTTCTTGTCTTTATTTAGCCTTCAGAACCTACTTTGGAGTCTTATCTTCAAGATAACCAGACCCTCCTTAACTCCACTGCAGATGCTTAAAAGAAAGCTAGCTCCCTGACCGAACTCTGGTTAAACTCTAGCTTTGAAATGCAATCTGGGACTTGATATATTTGTAGCTACTTCCAAAGGCTTGAAAAGCATAGGAACAGCCCACAGAGCCTTACTGCTTTAAACTTACTGCTTTCAACCACCAGCAAAGCCATGCTTCTCCAGTTTTTCCATAGCTCATCCTCTTCTCAATCTCTATTAATGTCATTTCTCTCCAAGTGCGCTCTCTACGTTATTGGAGAGGGTGCAGAGGCTCCTCAGAAAGCCAGAAAGGATCAAACACTGTGCTATGAACACTTCCTTGCATGGAGAGGAAGTTAGGATAAACTCGACCCTGACATTAACTCCAGTCTGGAATCCCATAGCACAGCTAGGGGCTCAGAACACAACAAGCACAATCTTTCCGTGAAGAGATCGATGCTTCTGGAGAGGGAGCTATAGGCAAACACACCAAAGAGGCCACCCCCCATGTCCTCCC